TGGGCTGGGATCCAGCCCGTCGGCCTCCGCCCCACCGATATCGTTGCAACAACCAGGGCTTTGCAGCAGGGGGGTGCGCGGTTCTTCACGCCCCCCGACGCCTATTACAGCCAGGGGGGCAAATCAGAGGAGATCCAGGGAGCCGGGCAGGACCCCTGCACGCTGGCAGAGCTGGGCATCCTGCTGGACACCACGGTGCCTGGGGACAAGGGCTGGCCGGGTGCTGATGCCACAGAGAGCCCTTCCCAGGAGTATTTGATGCAGATCTTCACCCATCCCATCTTCTCTGAGGAGACCTTCTTCCTGGAGCTCATTGACCGGCGGGGAGCGCCAGGCTTCGGGGAAGGCAATATACAGGCACTGTGGAAAGCTGTGCAGGTCTATATGGACCAGCAGCAGTAGTGGCAACACTGCAATCCTCCTCCCTCAGCTGCCCATCCCCTCCGGTCCAACCCTGGGGCAATACGCCACTGTAGAGATACCAGCAGGTGCCTGCGGCATGGCCCAGGTCAGCAGGGACCAAGGGAGGTCTCCTGGTCAAGCCAAAGCCAACTTCAGCATGACAGCACGTTGCTTAGAGCCAGGTCCAGTGATGTTCTGAGCATCCCCCGGGTGATTTCTCCCCCTCCATGGGTTCCCAGTGAGTTACCGGCCTCATGTGAAGAACTTTCTGCCTTAATTTCGTCTTGAGCTAATCAGACTTGTGCCTGCAGCACGGCCAAGGACGCTGCTATCAGAGCAACACCCCCAGACATAGGGGATGAGGGGCTGCCAGAGGGGAGTGGATAACCCAGGGGCCATGGACACCACAGCTCGTCAACAGGTACCACCCAGAGCACGGCCAGCCCCTGTGCAGGGCAAGTGATGGCCTCTTGCTCCTCTCAATTAAAGAATTAACCTGCAAGCACTGCTTTGGTTTTTTTTCTCCTCCCATTTAAGATCTGCCGAGTGCCAGGCGAGGATGAAAGGGCCCTTTCCACTGCAGTCCCTAAACTGAGGCCGCTTGCCCCTCGCGCAGCCCCCAGGACTGGCCCCTGTCCCTGCCAGCCCCAGGCGGGGACACAAGCCTGGGGAGGAGGAAAACCCTTGGCAGCCCCCTGGGAAGAGCCTCCCGGGCTTGTGCTGGGAGCAAGGGTGCTACTGTGCATCAGTCAGGGAAAGCCACAGCATGAACACAGTGGGGAAGAGCTTGACAGAAAAGGTAAAAAAAGGGGGATAAAACCCTACAAAAAGCCCAGGGGATGGCTGCCCAGCCCCATGGAGGAGCAGCCCGCAGGCAGAGCTGCGCAGCCCTTATTTGGGGTCACTAGCAGTTAACACTCAGCCAAGGGGCTTATGGGTGCATTAACGAAGAAACGCCTGCTGTCCCCAGCCCCGATGTAGGGATCCTGCCGGCCATCCCCATATTTGACCGCAGGCTGCCTGACAGCCCCAGCTTAGCACAATGCAACAGAGGCAGGAAGTAACTTAAAAAACCCTACACACTCAAGGAGATTTATTATTAGAAAGCTTGTGTGTGGCTCAGGTTCAGTAAAAACAAGTGTATAAAAAGGGCTATTGGAGAGCAGGAAGGGTACAGCAGCATCCACAATCACTGGCTGGGGCACGAGGTGCAGGCAGGTGGGGACAGGGCTGCGGGAACGATGGGGCCACAGTCTTCCTGCCGCCAGCGAGAAACCCCTGCTGCTGTGAGTCCACAGTGCCGGAGTGGTGGCTGTACAGGGCTGAATAACCCCAGGAGGACCCCAGCTGAGCGGGGAGGGCAAGCCTGGCTCCGGGTCACATCCAGGACCACGCTGGCCACATCAAGGCACAACTCCCACGGGAGAGCTGGCGAAGCCGGCAGACTCTGCAAGGAGGAACGGGAGACCATTACAGGGCTGTGGGCTGGGCGTGCAGCAGCGTAGGGGACACCATCCCAACACCACAGGCAGGACTCACTGTAGTACAGGTCTCTGGTGGTCTCAGATATTAAAGGTGCCATCATGGGGAGGTGGGTGCCCGGAGGAAGGCATAGAGGGAGAGTTGCATCCCAGGGCGGCTGCTGCTTGCTCCCTGTGGCTTTGTCCCCCGCTTCCGCTTGGAGCCCTGCAGGAGAGACACACTGGGGCCAAGCCAAACCCCAAGGGCCCCCACAGCCTCCAGGGATTGCCTTTGAGACAAGGGGGGGACCCTGGTATTGGGGACATCCCAGGCAAAGCCAGCCAGGCAAATCCCCCAGGTGCAGCCCTGCCCCAGGCCAGGGATGCTCCTCAGTGTCCTGGTTTTGGCTGGGATAGAGTTAATGTTCTTCCTAGTAGCTGGTACAGTGCTGTGTTTTGGATTTAGGATGAGAACAATGTTGATAGCAACAACTAAAACATCGGTGTGTTAAGTAGTGCTTACACTCGTCAAGGACTTTTCAGCTTCTCGTGCCCTGCCAGCGAGGAGCTGGGAGGGGGCACAGCCAGGACAGCTGACCCAAACTGGCCAAAGGGGTATTCCATACCATACATCATGCTCAGTACATAAACTGGGGGGAGCTGGCCGGGGGGCAGCAACCGCTGTTCGGGAACTAGCTGGGCATCGGTCAGCAAGTGGTGAGCAATTGCATTGTGCATCATGTATTTTGTATATTTTTATCATTATTATTATTAATATTACTTTCCCTTCCTTTTCTGTCCTATTAAACTGTCTTTATCTCAACCCACGAATTTTACTTCCCCCCGCCCCTGCCCCCCCGATTCTCATCCCACTCGGGGGCGGGAGAGTGAGCAAACGGCTGTGTGGTGTTTAGCTGCCTGCTGGGTTAAACCACAACATTTTGCCTGACCCCACAGCCCAGGGGGGCTCCAGCACTGCACACCGGGGCCCGGCCCACGGCAATATGGAGCAGCTCCCAGGGCTGCACACCTTGCAGCAATGCCCACCTTGCCAGGGCTGCTCTCCTCCCCACGCTGCTTCTCACACGCTTTCAGCACCTGAAGGAAGCACAAGAGAGCCCAGAGCTGAACTGGAGCCGGGACAGCCCACAGATGTTGGGGGGATGCCCCGGGACCCCAGGGAGACAGAGGGAAGGGAGGAAAGGCCCAGGTCCCCCCGGTACCTTCTTCATGGCTGTGGACACAGCTGAGGCATGGAACTCCTTCTCTGTCACCCAGCGGGATGGGGACAAGGCAGGGTCCAGGGTCACGTCTCCATCCAGGGGCAGGGAGTAGACCACATATGTCTGGTGGATGTGAGAGAAGATGTGGACTACCTGCAAGGGGATGAGAAGACATGGAAATGGGCAGGCAGCAGGGGGTGCACTGCTTTCTCAGCTGCCTCACGAGTGCACTGAGTCTGCCAGGGCTCTGAGGAGCAGGGCAAGGCTTGAGAGGGGTGACAGCAGGGAAGGGGCACCCTCCTACCCCTGTGCTACATCCTCCACAGCCGAGCACAGGGGGCTCATGCTGCACGCCTCTGGCTCCAGGCTCACCTCTCCAATGAACCGCAGGCCTCCCGCCACCACTGGCCGCCCCGTCCAGGCCCGGAGGTGATCTGCCAGCACCTCCCTCTGCTTCTCCTCCTGCAGACCCTGAGCCAGCGGGAGGCTGGGGAACTCCCAGAGACCGGCCAGGAGACCTGGGCAGGGGGCACACCAGGAACATGAGCCAGCAAGAGGCACATCTGGGGACACTGAGTCTCATCACATCCCGCTCCCAGACTGCTCTGACCCTCGTGTAAGGTGGGAAGGGGCCGCGCAGTGCCTTCTCCACCCTCCTGCCCAAGCCCCATTACCCGAGCTGGGTCTCTGCACGATGAGGTACTCCGGGGCCCCGTGGCAGCCCCTCCGCTCCAGCACACATGTGGCCGTTCGCGCTGCCCGCGGCTGCTTCTTCGCTGCTTTCCGGGGGAAGTTGGTCACCCCCAGGCTGCTGTCCCATGGCTCCGCAGCTGGGGGACACAGGGGACAGCCCCCAACACCTGCAAACACCGATGTAACAGTCACCACAGGGCCCAGACCTGGAGCCACAACAGAGATCTCCCCAGGCGCTTACCACAGTCCTCAACATCAGGCACTGGGGCAGGTTTTCCAAACAGCTTCTGAGAGGCGAAGCCCAGCTCCTTCTCCACCTGCAAGGGGGGACAGGAATGGGGACAGGCTCATCCACCAGCCCACCTTGTCCCCATGCATGGTAACCCCTCGGGGCCAGCACCCAGGATGAGGAGGTGATGCCCAGCCAAGAACAGCTTGCAGCACTGGTTTGGGACAGGGATGGCTTGTAAGAAGCTTCAGAGGGGACCTGGGGTGACCTTCTGCCACCCCACTGGGACAGCTGGCAGCCCCCAGCCACCCGCAGGCAGGGAGGAGACAGATTTTGGGGCTGTACTTACCCTGCGCCGCGCTCGGCAGTGCTGCTTCACAGGGCACTCCCCACACAGCGGGGCCTTGGGCACACACACAGTTGCCCCCAGCTCCATCAGGGCTTGGTTAAAATCCCCTGGGCGGCTCCTGTCTACCAGGGCATTGGCCATGTCCCTGGGAGAAACAGCAGTGAGCGGCACGGGGCTCTGTGGGAGCCGCTGCCGGCTGCCCCCCTCCTGCCAGTGAGGGGGGATGCTCTTTGGTAGGCAGAGGCAACACGGCTCCTTTCTCCACCACTCCCAGCAGCACCGGCTTCCCAAGAGCTCCCGCACCCCACACCTCTCTCCCTTCACAGGCTCAGCTCAGACTCAGCTCCCCACAGCTCCCGAGTGATCCTGCCCTCAGCAACCAACAAGCACAGCCACCATCGCCTCAGCTCGGAGCGGGGATGGAGCGTTCCCCTTACCAGAGCCGTTCGATGCCGGCCGGGCTGCTGGAGTCAGCACCGATGCACCGCAGGCGGCACAGGACCCGGATCACGTTCCCATCCACGACGCCAGTAGCCTGGGACCAGGAGCTGGGGTTACCATGTCGGGAGGTGCCCGTGCTCCTGGCGAGGCAGGGAGCTGGGGTGCTCCCAGGATGGAGGGGACACACAAACGAGGCCGACCCACAGGCCAAGCTGGGCAGTGGGTGAGACCCACTGCAAAGCAGGGGAGAGCCGGAGCCAAGCAGAGCCCTGGGGAGCCCCTGGCTTGCGAGACCCAGCAGTAGGACCCGACCAGGGGTGGGGCTGGATGGCAGAGAGGGGAGACATGTCCACTGACGCCCAGCTCTCACCTGCCCGTACGAGATGGACGCGATGGCTCCGGCCGTGTATCGGCCCACTCCTGGCAGCAGCTTCTGCAGGTCCTCAGCCGTCCTGGGCATCTGGCCGGCCAGCTCAGACACCACCTGGCAGAGAGGGGGCCGGGGTCAGGGGAGCAGCCAGCGTGCGTGCGCGCAACCCATTTTACCCATAGTAAGATGGGATCCCAGCCTCTGTAGCCTTGTGCCAGCAGCACACAGCCCCAGCGAGGCAGGGCAGGCAGGAGCCAGCGCCAACGCATGGGCTGCAGAGGGCTTTGGAAATGCCCCCCACAGCCCAGCACCAGGGCACCTTCCTTGCTGCCTCCTGCAGACGCTTCCCTCTCGAGTAGTAGCCAAGTCCGGCCCACAGCTCGTTCACCTCCTGCTCCAAGAGACATGGCACAGTGTTAGATGAAGAGCTACGAGGGCAGGGAGAGCACCCAGTCCCAGCCAGCAATGCTCACCTCCAGGGACGCCTGCGCCAGAGCCTGCAGCGTTGGCCACTTCTGTGGTACAGAGGGAAGAGGACAAGTCAGGGACAAGCAGAGCCATGCTCTGCAACTGGAGATCTGCCACAGGCAGTGGACAAAGTCTCCAAAGGGGGCAGCCTGTGGGCACAGGACTCTGTGAGGAAGAGTCACCTGCATCCAGCGGTTGTAGTAGTCGATCACTGTAGCCACCTGTGTCTGCTGGAGCATGATTTCAGACACCCACACTGCAGGGAGCAGGACAGGCGTCAGAGCAGAGGCACCAACGCCACCCACACCTCCTGCCCTGGCCACGTTAGTACTGGCTACAAGCACTGCAGTGGCATCCAACACATGGGACCCCTTCCCACCCTTGCTCCTTCCCCACATGCTGTCCCACAGGAGCTCCCTCAGGCCCAAAGTGGGCTCTCAGACCCCCCAGCGCCTTGCAAGTGGGGCTCAGTGGTTCTCGTGGCCACCCCAGGCAGCTTGTTCCAAGGATGGCAACTGAAGCCACATTTCCTCACAAGGCCATATTGCACATCCGTGTCAGGGGGCAATGCGCAGCGGGGCACCCCACGCGGGGCACCCCACGCAGGCCGGGGCACAGGCCCTGCTCCTCACCTGCATATGCCCGCCTGTCGGTGTCCGGCTCAGTTGCTGCCTGAAAGGGGAGGAAGATGGGGTGTGAGAAACAAGGTGACACAGGACCCCATTGCAGAGGGCACCCGCATATAAAATAAAATCGCTTGTGGTGTGAACACTGCATAGGAATCTGCAAACAAAATATTTCCCCTAAGCGCTCAGAAGTTCTGAGTTTGGGTTAATCAAGTGACAGCCAAAGCACCTTTTCCTTGACAAAGCATGGGGGATGTCACACTCCTCCCACAGCCAGAGTTTACCTCAGAGGTTCAAAGATCCCACCAGAGGAGCTGTCCCGGACCCGAGCCCCTCTGCACGGGAAGCAATCGCAGGCAGATGTAAGCCCCACGGAAGGGCCGTGCAGTTCCCAGCACCATTCAGACAGACGTTGTTGTAAAGCTGACGCCCACTCCCAGCACCCCAACCACCGCCTAACCACTTGTTGCCAGGCCGAGCGCAGGGCGAGTAGGAGCTCTAATAAAAACGCTCAGCAGGTTTAAAGCAAATACATGGGAAGCCTTTTCCACGCAGCGCTCGCTGCTGCAGGATGCCACGGAGGGAGGAACAAAACCAATTCAAAAGACAACTAGACTAAGTTTACCAGAGGAAAGCGCTCAGGCTCGGAGACCGTGTTTGAGAAGCCTGGTTTCACCCTTCACTGTTCGTACCTAGGGACAGGCTACAGACAACCCACCGCGAACTGCCAGGACCAGCCGGGAGCACGCTCTCATTTCCAACACCCCCTTCCACTTCCATG